TTTTCAACACTTTATCTAAACACAGTTCGGATTTATTCCCCATTCAAAGTACAATTTATTTGCATATCCAAACAATAATTCTGATCACAGTTTGAATCACCATAGTTCGTATTCTACGGTTCTAACTAAAAAGGTTCAAATCACAACAATTTGAGTTGTTGAACCAAACAAGCCCAAAAATTTAGGGCAATTTATGTGCAAAATATTCTAATATTTAAAAAATAACATTTTACAATTTCCGTAACTGTACATATTTGGAAAATTTCAAGTTATAATGTTATATAAGCATGTAATTATCTTGATTAATTATTAAAAACTATCATTAATTTTATAAGAAGTGACAAAATTGCAAAAATAAATACATAAATTGTGGGTGATAGTTAATTAAAAACATTTAAAAGCTAAGATTTTACGATACTAATAATCATGAACTAACAGTGCACCACTTGACATTATATAATAAGATGAAAAGTTATTACTATTACTATTATTATTATTATTATTATTATTATTATTATTATCAAAAGGAAACGCATTGACGTATACACTGCACACGGGGAATTTGAGTTCGTCTATTAAAAGTTAGGTAAGATAAGTTATCATGATCATATGCCAGCTGAATCTTTTGATTGGAAATATAAAATGCGTAGATTATAAGATTGTGGTTTTACGTCATTTACGAATATATTTTAGAAACATATAATATTATCGTCAAAACAAAATCATAAAATTACTAGCGTATATGATAGACTTAAATTTGTTGTTTAATTTTAGTATCTTAATTAGTGTTTAACTAATCAAATTATATCACCTCATTTAAAAAATTTAAATTGTTTTTTAACTAACTTTTTTGTATTTATTATAATTTAATTAATTAAACACCAATTGAAACATTAAAAATTAAACAGTAAATTTAGATCCGTGACACCAATGTATTATGTATATACAGTGGGTAGGTAACCCAAAGACCTTAATAAGCTATATATATATATATATACATATATATGTATAACATGTTTTGTCCTATTTATGGCAAACGGTCGAGTCGAAGACGAATTATTTGGTCAGAAGAAAAAAATTGGACGATGATGTATATACGGACATATAACAAATTAATAAGGTAAGAGACAAATATATTCAAATAATTATGTACGCACTGTGACAATAAATTAGTTAAGACACAATTAATAGCAGATATTAAACCCAACCAAATTATCATAGTCCTTTTTTTTATTTTTTTTGTATAACTGATATCAAAGACCAAATTGCTTGGGGAAGTTTCGCTTTGTTTGAAATTAGACTAGCCTCGTATTCAAAGCTATTGAAGAGTAGTGAAGACTTTATTTCTTTTTATTTTTTTGATTTTTTTTTTTACACGTATAACAATTGAAGACTTCAAGACTTCACTATTGCATCACTTGGCATAACGTTTAGTCTTTTTTTTTTTTCCCGCCCTTTCCTCTGTGAAAAAAGTTATGATTTCTCCTAAAATGCAGGTGCCATCATATTTCCGAGGAGGGTTTTGAGCTAATAATCCTTTTCAGTAGAATTTGTTTCGTGGGTTCGATCTAATTTGAAATTATTTAGGGTATGTTTATTTTCATGATTCAAATTATATTACTACAGTGTTTTTTCTCATAAAAATTTAAATTCACATTTTTTACTACAATATTTTTTTCTCACGTACACAACTCAGGTCATGAAAAAGAATAAACACTTAGATGATAGACACAATTTGAAGGGGCATTTGTGTTAGGAACATGTGGGCTACACCATAAGAGATCAGAGTCAGTGGCGGCGCTAGGATTTTATTTTAGAGGGTCGTAAACTAAAAAAATTAAAAATGTTAAAAAATAACACTAATAATATAACTTTTCATACCATTAACTAGTTGGAAGCAAATGTATGTACATATTGATCGGTATTTTGACTTTTTTGATACGTGACATAAGATTTTAAAGGGAAAAGGCAAGTTTTAAAAAAGGTGTTTCCTAGCTCAACAAAGCAAATTAGAGAAAAGTTGTTTATAAGCAAATAGTAATTGAGAGGATTATTTGATGAGGCTCACCTTTGATACAATAAAGATTATATGAAAAAATATTTTAAAAGTGATAAATTTGAAAAAAATAAAAGTTTTAACTAGAGTAAAGTAAAAAATATAATTAGGTACATTTAAAAGTATAAGATTTAATAGGAAAAAACGAGCAAAATTTTTTTTTTTTTTTAAAAATGTTAAAAAAATAGTTTGGATTTTGGTTGAGATATTTTAAAACTTTTGTTAATGGTGGAGGAGAGGGGAGACCCTCACCTCCCTCCGCTTCTGTTTCGGGCTCCAACTCAAAAAGTTAACTTAGTGAGTGAAATAACTCACTCCCTTATAAACTAATCATAGTTCACATTTGTTGTCAATGTGAGACTTTATTTACACTTTTAATCATCCCCCTTCGAACGAAGTACTACGACCCCTTTGAACGATGACACATTTCATCTGTTAGATCCTCCATCACACATCCATTATGATACATGAAGATTCCAACACTTTGTGCTCTCCAACACCTATATGGGGGATTTCCCACTCAAAAAGTTAACTTAACGAGTAAAATAACCAACTCTCTTATAAATCTATTATAGTTCTCATTTATTATCAATGTGAGACTTTCTAACCATTTAATTGATAAAATAAGTTAGGAATGAAAAGGCTATTCATATCTTGAATAGTAAAAACCTTTTCACATACTGATTTTTTTAAATTTAAACACAAATTTCTATTTTCAACATATATCTAAACACATTCAAATTTTATTTAGTGTTCGGATTTACACAATATACTGCACACACACACACAGATATATATATATATATATATATATATTCAATTTTGATTCTAGGATTTTATTTTAGAGGGTCGTAAACTAAAAAAATTAAAAATGTTAAAAAATAACACTAATAATATAACTTTTCATACCATTAACTAGTTGGAAGCAAATGTATGTACATATTGATCGGTATTTTGACTTTTTTGATACGTGACATAAGATTTTAAAGGGAAAAGGCAAGTTTTAAAAAAGGTGTTTCCTAGCTCAACAAAGCAAATTAGAGAAAAGTTGTTTATAAGCAAATAGTAATTGAGAGGATTATTTGATGAGGCTCACCTTTGATACAATAAAGATTATATGAAAAAATATTTTAAAAGTGATAAATTTGAAAAAAATAAAAGTTTTAACTAGAGTAAAGTAAAAAATATAATTAGGTACATTTAAAAGTATAAGATTTAATAGGAAAAAACGAGCAAAATTTTTTTTTTTTTTTAAAAATGTTAAAAAAATAGTTTGGATTTTGGTTGAGATATTTTAAAACTTTTGTTAATGGTGGAGGAGAGGGGAGACCCTCACCTCCCTCCGCTTCTGTTTCGGGCTCCAACTCAAAAAGTTAACTTAGTGAGTGAAATAACTCACTCCCTTATAAACTAATCATAGTTCACATTTGTTGTCAATGTGAGACTTTATTTACACTTTTAATCATCCCCCTTCGAACGAAGTACTACGACCCCTTTGAACGATGACACATTTCATCTGTTAGATCCTCCATCACACATCCATTATGATACATGAAGATTCCAACACTTTGTGCTCTCCAACACCTATATGGGGGATTTCCCACTCAAAAAGTTAACTTAACGAGTAAAATAACCAACTCTCTTATAAATCTATTATAGTTCTCATTTATTATCAATGTGAGACTTTCTAACCATTTAATTGATAAAATAAGTTAGGAATGAAAAGGCTATTCATATCTTGAATAGTAAAAACCTTTTCACATACTGATTTTTTTAAATTTAAACACAAATTTCTATTTTCAACATATATCTAAACACATTCAAATTTTATTTAGTGTTCGGATTTACACAATATACTGCACACACACACACAGATATATATATATATATATATATATATATTCAATTTTGATTCCAATTATAAACGAAACCTTTTAAATTTTACAATTAAAAAAAAAAAAATTCAAATTGTCTCACTTGGAACCGACGAATCAAACTATTGCTTGAAAGGAAGATACACTTCTACCATAATGATTTTTTTAAAGGAAAATTTGTATTCGAAACATATAAATAAACAGTACAATATAAGACATCCCATCAAAATAATCTTCTAAACGCTGAAAAGACAGAACATGAAACCCCCACTTAAAGAGGAAATCAGCATCATGACACTGATAAGATTTTAACTTGATCAAACAATTCACACCATCGGTAAACAACTCAACTGAATGACAGATATAATTAATACCCGAGAGTAAAAAAAACCACATCCATTATTACCAAACAACAAACAAAAAGAAAACGTTGGTCTCTAGGGAAGACACTACATTTTTTTTTAAAGTGTATTTGCATGATTTTCATCTTTGGCTGATAGTGAAATGATTCCATTTTAGTGTAGTTATCTTAATAAATCCGTTAGAAAAAAGTTGACGTATCAAACTTGGATTTTCGTGTTCTTCATAAACAGAATAAAGGTAAAAGGGACGACCGATTATTCTTGCTTTCTTAGCGCATGCCTATAACACTTCTACCCAAGAATTGAAGAAAGGAAGGATCTAGATGAAAAATGTCATTTGATTTGGAATATTCTTGAACCCTCTCCTTTATTCCTCCTTTTTCTCCAGCATGATATCCCTACCATTAGTTGAGAAATATTACATTATTCATAAGTATGAGTTTTACGTAAAACTCAATTGACAAAAAAATAAAATAAAATAAAATAAATAACTTCCGGTTATCTTGTTACAGATATAATCTAACGGCTACGGATATAATTTAACTGTAATTTTTTACCTACCTCTATTAAAATTTTTAATGTTCAAATCTTCGGACTCTGAATTTAATTAAAAAAAAGTGACAATTATATTTTAAGGTTAACTAAGCTTATTTTCTATTATTGATTTTCGGTGGCATAAAGCTAATTAATACTCACGAAACTTGGATGTAAAAACAACATGAGTCTCACTAAATAATCAAGACTTACAATTCAGCCCCCACGAGCTCCAGGATACATAAACTCGTTGCCTTCTCGATACAATTTACATGAAGGCAAAAGGATTTAACAGATTTAAAAATTTTGGATATCTTGCTAATCCCCAGGGGTACAACAAAAATAAAATAAAATAAAAGAAAGATACAGCCAAAAAAAAAAAAAAAAAAAATGTTTGGATTCACCAAAAAAGGACTTGGAGGGACTTGTGTGTTAGATTGAGGTGGATAAAAGTTCTTCCAAGTAGTCTGCTCCTAAGTCTTCAAAAACCACCACATTGTCTATCCTCACATCCGTCACTTTGCTCTTCTTGTTCACAATTTTTCTTCTCATTGAGTGTTTCCTCTTGAGCGCCACCACCGGCGAGCACCCTTCCTCGGGGCCGTAGTTCATTTCCCGCAGCGATTCCTCGACGGTTTCGACCGGGAAATTGAGGATCGCCGACTGTCCCCGCATCGAAAACGCGGCCTGGTCGTAGGCCAAAGCCGCCTCCTCCGCGCTGTCGAACGTGCCGAGCCACACCCTTATGCCGTGCCGTGTCGAGTCCCTAATCTCCGCCGCGAACTTCCCCCAAGGCCGCCTCCGAACCCCCCGGTACGACCGCTCCTTCTTCGGATTCTCTTCCTCCGACATCGAGCTCACCTCTTCCTCCTTTATCGGGTTCTCCCAGACAGAGCCCGAGACGGTTTCTCGGTTAGTCTCGGAGAGTAGCCCATAGAGGAGCATCTCTTCAGAGTCGTTCTCATTGAAAGGAAGAGAATTGGCAGAGAAATGAAAGCTCTCCCAAGAGAAAGAATCCAGCGATCCGAACGACGACTCCGACGACAAATCGGAAGTTTGGGAATGGAAAACAGGGGATTCCATTTTTAGTTTTTGGTTTGGTATAGTCAGAGTATGCTCTGTTTTTCTCTATGCTCTGTTTTTCTTCAGTTCGTCCCCTGTTTTTGAGTAAGCAACATAAGAATGCTCTGCCTCAATATATACTAGCTCAATGAGCTGAAATGGGTCAGAAAGGTCATTGCACAAGCCTTTCGGGGGTGAAAAGGTAAAAACACCCTTGGAGAGTATCGTTCATTACTGTCTCTCTTGGTGGCTATATTAAATTGATTTTTATTTTTTTATTTTTTTTTTCATTTTGTTTTAGTGGGATCCACTGCAATTTGACACAAATAAGGTTTACCCAATTTCCGCACATGGGTCAATTGAAGCCATGGCTACGGCGGGCAGGTCAGAAAGACCAGTAATGGTGACGTAATCGTTTTTGGATTTCATGTTTTATTATCCTTCGTGGCATGGTTTCTCTGGGGTTAGTGGAGTACACGTGACAGTCTGGTCTGGTGATTTAATGCTTTCTAGTCAGGTGAGGCGAATAGAGCTCGTTAGTTGAATGGCCGTTGGAGATTATTTTATTTTATTTTATTTTCTTGCTAATCGTTGGAGATGAATTGTTTCAACATAATGTTTTTAAAATAATTTTATTTTTAATGTAAAAGTAAACATAAAATTATTTTGAAAATTATACACAAATCAATTTTAAAATTATATTTAGTTAAATTTTTAAAAAATTATTTTAAGTATAATAATAATATAAAATCGTGTTTAGTTATATTTATAAAATTTTATTTGGGGTACATCTTAAATTAATATATTAAGTAATTAATAATCACTTAACAATAAAAATTAATAATAATATAATAATAATGGATATTATTATTAATGAGTGTATTAATAATTAACTTATATATATAATAAATTAGTCGGCTAAATAATTAAAAGATAGTACTTAATAGTAAGATTATAAGTATTACTATGTTGGTCATATTTAATAATTTATAAGTAAATAATTAGTGTATTAATAAAAAATAATAAGTATATAAATAATTTATTAATATTTAATTTACTAATTAAATAATTAACTTATAGTCACATAATTAAATAATTTATTAATTAATTACTAATATTTATTTAATACTCTATTATTTGATATATTAAATGATCAATTTTTGGTAACTATTATTTAAATAATTATTAATTACTTATTATCAATTATTAAATACTATTGATTAGTATATTACATAATTAATAATTATAATATAATATTAACCATTAATTGAGTGATTACTGCTTGTTTTTTATTTATCAACCATTTACTAATTAATTAATTATAGCTGATATAATATATGATTGATAAATTAAAAATTTGTTATTTATTTAACAATCTATTATTAATTATTCTATTATTAATATATTATATAATCAATTTTTGACAGTTAATGTGTAACTAAATAATTAATTACTGTTTATTATTTATTATCTTTATTAATAAAATTACAAATTTTATAATAATAAATTAAATTTAATTAATAATTAAGTAATTACTTTCTATTTATTAGTTACTAATCATATCTATTTATTAATTATTGATTAATATGTTTAAGATAACATTTTTGATAAGTATTAAAAAATGAAAATGGAAATGGGAAAACAACCTTAAGTCATTTTTTACCTCCTTCACAAAAATCATTCTCATTGTTTTTGTTTGCGTTTTCATTTTTAAAACATTAGCTAAACAAATGCGGTTTGCAAACCGTTTTTATTTTTGTGCCTCAAAAGTCGTGTAAAAATGTTTTTAAAAACAATCAAAAAGCAATTCTAAACACACCCCTTATTTTACTTTTCAACCCTATTTTCTTTTTGCTATATAATTTTCTAGTTAAGCTTCTAAATTAATTGAAAAATTCTTAGAGATACTATCATTAATAGAAAGTGAACTCATCTATGAATCTCATCCTCCGAAATCGACCTTTTATTAATGGATAGTGTTAAGCACAATTAGTATTCAACACGACTGGTGTACTATAATCTATAAAATTATTCAAATTAATTATGATTTTCATGAGAAAAATAAGGATTACGTATATGAATACCGTCTATGAACTTTTACGAAGTATAATACATTGAAGTTTTTCTTCAACTCTATAATTGGCTCCTTTGATAATATACATATGAATGAGTTTTTAATGGTTATATTTTTATCGGTGATTACCATTAAATATAGAAATTTGATAACGTGACGTGATAAGAATTTAATTCCATTAATGTTCGTAATTTTTTTAGTCTATATAATTTATTTTAATTGTCTGATTAATATCTTACGGTTAAAATAATGATACTTATTGATAGATAAATATTAAAGTAACTATTAAAATTATATAGCTAAGAGGAAGCTCCTTTGATATATTCATATGGGTGTTGTACTTTTCTTAAAAAGTAAGAAAAAGAAAATAATTACATTCGTGCATGGATAAGTGATCTTACTTAACCGCACAAAGTGTGGGTTGGTGCAATATAGGAAACTTCCTTTCCACCTAAACGATTCTGCGGATTATCTTTTTAGTCATAAACTTGAATTAATTATTGCAATCTTGACCAAAATCTACTTACTACTAGGTTACAAGTTATAACTTTAGTTTATTCTTATTTAAGGAAATACTATATTCTAAGATACGTCACTATAATTTTATTAATGTCTTTTTAATATAGTATTGCATTGTTGTAAATTCTTTAGTGTTGCTTTTAAAATATATAGTTATAAGTAGAAGATGACATTTTTTTAATGAACGCAATTCTTCTCTCTCTATAACTATGTAACTATACCATTATACATTTATCTAATACACATGTGTCAATGAAAAAAAAAAAACACTGTATGTGCTTAATGTTCGTGAATTCGCTAAGCTAATTAATCCGTCCAAACAAAATTAATCCACATAGATTGAATTAATCCGTCCAAACAAAAAAACACTGTTTGTGGTATTTTTTGAGTGGTGAGCAATATAAGAAAAATATGCTTAAAGTAGAAGAACACACGAAATTTATAGTGGTTCACTCTTTAATGAAGAGCTACATCCACTGTAGTTTTATATTCTTTTTGAGATTGTTACAATTTACATCAATTGTTGCTCTCTCATTCTTTTCTCTCAAGAAAGATCAACCTCCTTCCTGTGTGAGGCTTCGCCCCTTATATAGCCGAGCTTCCTTCGTCGGGTGGGTTTTCTTTGTAGGCAGAAAATCACTCAAGTGGTCTGCCTTTCTAGACCAAAACTGTAGCCCACTAATCACTTTAGCGAACTATTCACTCTGCCAATTAGTCTCCCATTACGGCTCTGTGCGTACCTATAACCCTTTTCTGTCCCCGCGTAGGGCGGTTTAAGGGTTTGCAATTAATGTCTGTACTGCAGACATCTCCCATTTCTGTACGCAACTTGCGATGTCAGGCTTTCCCCTCTTCAGGCATTTCTCTCGCTGTCTCTATTTACTCAGCCTAGTTGCCTTTCTTGGCAATTGATTTCCTCCTGAAGGATTCCCGCCTACGGTCGACGGTACGACCTCTGAGGAGTCGGCGTCCTAAGTTGGGCTTCCTCTTGCAGCAGAGGGGAAAGGAGTCCCCAAGGTCGAGGGTTGTTGCCTCTTGAGGGAAAGCAAGACCACGTGTCACACTGTTATTTTTCCGCGCGTCATCCACATTTTTCCACACAACAGTTTGGTTAGAGTTGAGAAAATCGTAAACTGATACTTTTAATTTTGTTTGTAGTTTAGATCTTTCGCAAACAGAAAACCCGAATTTATATTCATATGGTATTTATTTATTTCTTACTTCAAAAGTTGTGGACGTTGTGTTACTTAAAAGTAATATTGATATTGAAGACTCTAGTTTGAGTTAATTTTATTAAATTTTAGTTATGGATTATAATGTCTTCTTAATTTAGTTTATTCTTAATTCAATTGGGTTCTAATATTTTTACTTGTTTGTTTTAAATCTTTTAATAAATTATGGTGTGCTTTACTTTCATTTTTAAACAAAAAATAATATTTCATTCTAATTACGAGAGATTAGTGAAAAAAAAAAAAAGCGTTCAAGGAGCTCAAATTTACATGCCTAGATCATAAGCGTAAACCGCAAAAATCAATAAGCAAAAACTTATACTTTTAGTTTAAATTGATTTTTTGTCTTGGGCATGGTCGAGAATATTTCAAACCGATAATTTTAGTTTAAATTTATAATAGATCTCTAAACCATTAATCAATTCGCGAAAACTCCTACTTGTGACAAAGACAATATCTGGTACATGTATTTTTTTTTTTTTTTTCCATAAAAATAGTGACATCTACCAAAGCTTTGGGACAAAATGTCTCATTCTTGCTAGGATACAAAGCTTATCATGCGCAGCAGCTTCAATAAGGATTTGATCTCAATTCTAAGCCATAATTGCCTAGCCAGGTTATGCATATATACAAAATCCTAGTCTAATCTTCTTGTAGTAGTTTCATTGCATTTTCTTTACGCCTCTGAATTGTATGCATGCGTGTGTGTATATATATATGTATAACGTTGGGATTCATGTGAAACTAAATTAGGAAAAATCACAATATATATATATATATGTATGTATAACGTTGGGATTCATGTGAAACTAAATTAGGAAAAATCACAATTTGCTGCTTACTCATTATACTTGTAGAACTTTCTTCTAAGGCTTACTACCGAAAATGATAAAACACGAATATTTTATAATATTTTACATATAGAACTTTTCTTTGGGGAATTGTTTAGTATCGATTGGCTGATATTAGAAACCATCATCTTAAAAATGAAAACAATCCCATCAATTAATATAATTATAAGAAAAGGAGAGTTTGAATGGTCTAGATACATGCCCCCTTGAAGGATTACCAAAATTAATGTTTCTTCAAAGTCATCCAAACTAGGAGAGAGAGATTTTTTGTTCGGCTTTAAAAGTCCTCCCAGAGTAATGGATTCTATTGCATGAAAGCGATCGATCGCGCTAATTTTATTTATATTTTTTGTGGTGTTATATGAAAAGCAACTTTGAAAACTGAAATTCAAGTTCCTCTTATATCCGTAGCTT